GTTAGCCCTCACATCGCACTCTGGTTCTGTGTGTAGCATTAACACTGTGCACGTGTTTCAAATTAAACACTGCACGTGGTTTCTTTTATAGTTAAAACATTCGTAGTACAAGATAATTATCTTTGCCATGTGTATAAAACAATACTACGTACGTATCATTTATCATGCTTTCTAATTAAGTATATGTTGTCGCCACCTGTAATTACGTGGTTATGTAACATGTTTATTTTTAGCTATGTTAGTCAGGACATTGTTGACCTGTACTATTTGTTTATTTTCAGATATTGTCCTTTTTCTTCATAGGCTTCTTCTCCATAGTTCATAGTGTCCTTTTTCTTGTTTTCATCATAGGAGAGCATTAATTAAAAAGCTATAGTCCTCAAGACCTGATTGTTTCATTTTGATTTTGATCTTATTTATAAAACTGTAAGCTAAACGTCATCCACTCGGACGTCATCCACTCGGCTACATATATATATAAATTATTATATGTCGATCTAACTAACAGATTGCGAATCTAAACATTTTTTTTAAAAAAAGGATTATACTCAAAATGACTTTATAACCCACGCTGAGTTGCTTTTTTCAATGCTAGGCAAGGGTTTCCCAAAATTTCATTTGGTGAGAGACTTATTTTCAAAGACGTTTTCTCTTCTCGCATTTCAACCTTGTGCTTCTTAATAATGGGCGTGGGACGTTTACTGCTATGTTAACCCACTTGATATCTTAAGGACTTTCTCGGGCAGTGTTCACCCGGTGAGGAGCCTGGACAACTGGGTCGACAGCGGCGGGTTGTCACTGTGGCTAAAACGAATGTGGCTGACAGCGTCTGCCTTGCTGTTGAGTGAACGAGTTGGTGGTTAAGCTCAGATCTTCTTTATAGTTATGGCAGGCTAAGGAGTTTAGTAACTTAAAAGCACATTACACAGAATAAAGTCACATTTTTTAATATACAGAAGGGTGGTTAATTGAAGTTCAGCTACAATGCATCCATTTCTTTTAAAATAATAACATTCGATCAGACCTTCCAACTGCCATCTTAAATCTATTACAGTAACGTTTCCTCTCTAATTCCTCTTTATCTATATTTAGAACTACGTATCACAACGCGGATACTAAAAAGTGCTCTTCACTCAACTGCAAATTAGCATTGAATATCATTATGTTACAGTGTGAAAAAAAATTCAAAAAGCTTTATACTCTATTTGGACTTAAAAACATATTTTAACACATTAAACATTTCAACAACTGGAAATCTACTAAGCCTAAGCATTACCTACTCGTGTGGGAATTCATTGCTTCTCGTCAAACACAGATTAAATTAACTAACCCAGCAATCTCGTTCAAGTAAGATTACCTTCGCTTCACTACGTACTAGAAATTATATGCCACTTATTGGGAAAAAAACAATTTTGGTAGATACATCATATCCTGTTAATCACAGACAACTAAGATCAGCTTATGTCTTGCGAATCCTTTCCCTCAAAGTTGGGAACGAAAGATTTAAAAATTCCCTTGTTCCTCATTCTATCATCATTGACCAACTTGCCTACATCGGCTGTTATACAATCTAAATGACCACTTTTAAAGTCTACATTATCACTAACGGGGTGAAGTTCCATGACGGCTGATTAAATCGCTTGAGACTTACTCTAGATGACCTGGTTTAAATTGATCCATTGTAAAGATCTTATCATATCTTATTATGCTCGGTCATACCGAATCAAATTATTACTGGTCCTTCTGTACGAAATTATGGCGGAATCATCTCAGACCACATTATGTTTGGTTAATTCGTACATTATAGGTAGTATTCCAAGATCACATTAAGGTTGCTCAACTCATATAATATTATCGATGGTTATCCCAGACTACATTATGTTTGGTTAATTCGTACATTATAGGTAGTATTCCAAGATCACATTAAGGTTGCCAAACTCTTATAATATTATCGATGGTAATCCAAAACCACATTATGGATGCTCAGTGCATTTAATATTATGGGCGGTAATCAAAGACTGCATTATGGTTGCTCAATGCTTTTACAATTATGGGCAGTATTCCAAGACCACATTAAGGTTGCTCAACATATATACTATTATGGATTCCAATCCAAGACCACATATGGTTGCTCAATGCATTTAATTGTGTGGGTGCCACAGGGATTGGTGGAGAGATGGACGATACTATCGATCAACTCCTTGATGATAAATTTAAAAAAAAATGATATTGAAAATACCTCTAAATCATTTATTTTATTAAAATTAGTTAACAATATATTTTAATTCATATATGCAATTTTAAGTTTAAAAAAAAAATTAAAATGAAGAAATTAAAACGTTGATACGTATTTTTTAAGAAATACACACAACATAAATAAGAACATTGATATATTTATTTAAAGAGTTAATATATAAATGGATGTGTTTGTGTGTGTGTGTGTGCGTGTATGCTAGTGGGCTAGCAATGAATTCGATCGTTAAAAAAAATCATTTTTTAAGTTTTAATGATTTTTTAAAATAGACCTTTGTGATTACAATAGTTCTTAACCCATTTGATCACGTTCCACGACTCATTTTATGAAGTCAATGAGCAATTAGATGGTTGGACCATGCGAATTTAAGTCACTAGAAGATCATGATAAGCTGGCAAAGCGTTGTGTTAAAGTAGTCTTTGGTGATCAGTATTCTACTTTAAATAAAGATGATATCGCATTCAATGTTCGAAGATGTCACCAACAAATATTTTATAGGGTATGCACGCCAAAGACTGTTATGGCCCATCATTGTAAATTGTTTGCAAAAATAATAGAAAAATAAATGTTTCGGGTTAAATTAAGCAAAAAACTACAAATTAATAATTTACTCTTCTCTTTTTAAACATGTCCATAATTATCACCAAACTACCAACAAAAAAAAGAGCAAAAGCAACTGTTAAATTTACATGTATAAAAAATAGAGGGTAGCGTATATATTTTAGCTTCATCATTTTTAAGGCAAAATAATGCTTTTAGCACGAAGTGGGTGTCATATTCCTCAGCGTGAATGAAATGAATGAGTGACAAGTAACGCTCATAGAAGTTAGGAGTGCAACAAGAGAATCACAACTTCTTAGTACAGGAATCAATCTAAGTGAAAAGAATGTGCATTTTTTTTACTGAAGAACACTCGTAAAGTGATTACGTGAACGTGCTATTGAAAGAGGATGAACCAATTGCAATTGTTTTGTTTTAATTTACAACCAAAACCAAAAAACCACAAGAAAACAATGAAGATAGACTCTCTGTGAATTGTTGTTGTTTTTTCGAATAACATGAAAATATAATAAAATGGATTTTTGTAAAAGCGTTTTCTATTATTTATCTTCTTAGATTTCTTTAAGATACATAAACCATGCTAAGATTTTAGAAATGCGTCTCCTTATGTAACGATGATTGGCTCGTTATTTGATGCCCAGGTCCTTTATGTGCCCTACGCAATTTGGCCATAATGTTTAGAATTGGACGAATTTTGTTCCACTTCTTTGAAGGTTTATCCCTGTCACGAGGGGAATTAAGCTTATTTTCAAATTTTGAGTATTTTTTAGAACATTTTTCTCCATAACTAGACTTTAATAATGCAGCGTATTTTATTTTTATCGTCCCTAAATCCTTTTTCGTGTTTTGAATGTCATCGGGGGATCTGCATGATGTCTTCCATTTTTTCTTCAGTTTTTGTAAGTCACTTCTAAATTGTGTCTCTAATTCAGTTGTGCATTTCTCCGCCACTTTGTTTGCGGGCTCTATTTCTTTATATCTCCCTGTGTATGTCTTTTCATCACTTGATTCGTCCCGTTGCCCAAGCTTTGAGGCGGGTGCTCTTTTATTAAAACCCTTACCCATATTGTCTTCATTTACCCCTTTTTCAGGATTACCTATTTTTAATTGTGAGCTTAATTCCATTTCCAACGGCTCCAGGTAGCCGAGAAGCTGTGCTAACTCCGAATCCTGCCAACTGCCTTCCTTGATGATGTCTTTATATTCCTGTACTTCGGTAAGCAGCTCTTTTGTTTTTGAATGTCTATCCTCGGAGTTAAATCCAGGCTTCAGAGTCACCCTTTGTCCTCGAATGTCGTTCACAAACGTTTTTGTTTGCTCTAAGATTTGAGGCAGAAAGAGTTCCTGGGTTAGTTTCGAAAGTCCCTCGTCGGCATTGATGAAATCGTCTTTACAGTACTTCTGGGCACAACTGATGCAGCCTACGAGGTTCTCAAGTTGTCTAGCTCTTTTGATTTCGTCTTTGGTTCTGTTGTTGAACAAGACACATCTGAAGCTGCATTCCTTAAAGATATCTCCTATTTCTCCTCCTTGTTCTCTACACCACTCCTCAAATGTCATGGCGGTCCCATTCACTTTCTCTTCTTCCATCTCATACTCGAAGTTATCACCGTGAGTGACGACACACACGCCGTATTTCTGAATAACGTCATTGCCGAGGACTCCACGGATCATTTTGATGGTGTCACTCTCGTGCTGAGTAAATCTGTCTCCGAATTTGATGACAATGAGCAGTGCTGTAAAACTGTAGTCGCATAGTTCCAATGACTCTTTGATTAAGTTAAGTGAAATTTCTAAGACTTCTAGCTTGTTCTTGCCATTGGTATCCACTCCAGGCGTGTCCACCACAGAGATGATAAGATTTTTAAATGTTGAAGTTCTCTTTCTTGGAGATGATCTTGTGGCAGACATCCCTGAAGCGATATCAAAATCTGATTTTCCCAGGATAGAATTTCCGGTTGCGCTTTTGCCGTTTCCAGCACTGCCAATCATTAGAAGGTCAATCATCTGGGGGTTGATAGGATTTCTCTCCTTTAAAGAAAGTATAAACAATTAATGTACATCTGGACTAAACAATTTAATTAAAATAAATTCTACTTTTTAAATTTTTTTTTCAAAACAAATAAGTCTCTCTCCCCATCTCTATCCCTTTAAATGTATGTTAATGTTATATATATTTTTGGAAGCTCTTATATTTTAAAGACTTGTAAATAAAAAACACCATTTCTTAAACATAGTTATATTCTTACGTTAATTCAATGTTCAACTACTTACGGTGACGTATTCAGTTATGAAGGTGATTGAAGTGAACTGGGTAGTATATTATATATAAATATATACTTATAATTTAGTTTTGAATAGCTCTCGCCCAACATTTGGAAATAGATCCCATTCCTTATTTCGCTCCTGTCTGTTTCTTAGCCAAAATACATTAATTCTTCATCATTGTCTTATTTATTTGTATACTGATTATTGCATTATTACAAGTAGTAAATTATTTCCTCTTGCTCAGATTTAACTCATACAGAATGATGTCTATTATTTTTAGAATTTTTTTTAAATTTAAAAATCAAATTCATGTACCATTCATTTCACTACAAGGCCCCCCATTGTAATCATATCAAATTTAATGTCACTTACCGGATCAGGTTTTGGCGGTCCGCCGTCTATCTGTTGGCTACACTTTTCTAACCTCTCGATTAATGTATCTAACAATGCCATCTGGCTACTGGAGGTCGCCTGTATTAAAACATTATGGACATCGCCAAACGTCTTAGACAAAACTGTGTTCTGCTCTATGAGCTCCTTCAGCGGTGTAGCGGAAGTTTGAAACACCTGCTTGAAGTTCTTTGCCGCCTTTAGGATCTCAGTGATAGCGCTTCGAAGCTTGCCTCTATTTTCATCACTGTCAAAGTGAACATCTCTGTCTCCTACTTCCTGGATGGTGCGTGGTGTGGATTGGTTTCTGGTTGCCATTGCAGAGTTTAAACATAAAATGGATGCTCTTGTTTGCCCACCAAAATAACAGTTTGTGGGTTTGTTTGTTCTGCGTTCGAACTGAAAGATGGACGAGACAGATAGGCGTTTAAATAAATGTAGAATAATTATCTTAAAGCAATAAATGAAAATAAGTTTACCTTATTAATATATGTGTAATTTTAGATTTGAATAAAGACATATTAATTTATGTTCCTCTTCCTAAACTCGTAACAATCACACATACCCCCAATCTCTGCCGCTCAATAAATTTGTTTTTTTATGCTCAAATTCACAATTTCCCCTGCAACAGGGGTCGGCTACCTTTTGGTAATATTCTGCCAAAGAGTGATGTCTAATTGATTCTGTGTGCCGAAAAGATATAACGTCACTTTATAACATGCATATTTTAAAGTTATTTATTGTTCTGTTTGCTTTGGACTATGAAGCTCTACGTGCCAAGTCTGGCATGCATGCCGTGGATTGCGGATCCCTACTCTAAAACATTGAAGGGACCTACTCCTCATCGCCACTCCTGCGTCCCAATGCGCCAGAGAAGACATCTACCGAAGCTCACATACATACCATAATTTGGTTTTAATAAGGGTGTTACTTATGTGCTGATATTATTTAGGTGCTTGCATCTCAAAGGTGGAACTAATTTCCTTACAACTTACACACTATTTCTCATAAACTACTAGATTACTGTCATCTCATTCCAAAAATTTGAACAAAAGAATTCATTTTTTAAAATAACTTTTTTTTTTCTCAAATAAAAGTCGTTGCGAATATATATATTAACTTAAGTAAAACTTAACGCAACATCCTTGCATTATGCGTATATAACATAACTCCTTACACATCGGCCATATGTTTACTAAAATACTATATTCCGGAATTTAAAAAAAATAATTACATCACATCAATATAAATTAATCACATCAAATAACGATACATGTGAATTATAACCAACTAAAGAGATGGTTAGGACTAAAACCAAATTTTTTTTGGTTTAAAACGTGTTTTAACCATTTCACAACTGAATAATAACATTGTATAGACATTACATCATTCATACAAGAACATAGTCATATGGTATAAGCATCTCATAATTCATGCCATTACTCAGTCATATCAGTATAGACTTTTCATCATTCATACCATAACACAGTCACATTGTATATATATATCTCATCACCATAAAACGTTATATAATGTAAAATTCGTGTTACCTTCTTTTAACAGGAGTAAACTTTCCAAACTCAAGTTGCACCTGTATTGCAGGATCGGCGAGCGTTGACGTAATCATAGGAATCCATTAACATCTGCAGGACTGGCGAATTCGTAAAACTTTCCTAGGAAAAATGAGACCGTGCTGATCCAGGCGTGCTGAGACAGGCGATACAGGCAGACACAGCTGATGTAGGTCACAGCAGGCGCCAAGGTCGATGGTGATATAGACATACTGACTGAAACATTGGATGATTATTATTATTTATTTTTTTACTTTTCCCCCGAAATCACATGGTTTGTTTCCTCGGAAAAAAAGAAAACTGCTGTCCTGACTAATCCTTTTCTGATGAAATAAGAAATGAGTTTGAAAGTGGCGTGACAATGTCACATGACCCGAGGCACAAACGCAGAAATGACCAAATGATTTATTTGTTTCTTTTCACGTCTTTTTTGTTCGTTTTTTTAGATCAATTTATCAAGAGGTGTTTAGGTAAAATGATTTTTTCCTTATAAATTAAGTCATTAGAAATATCTTTAGACGTATGTTTTAAGACAAGAAGAATCTTAGTTTGTTTATATATATATATATTGATATAAATGGTCGATAATGTCTTATAGCACATATTTTATTACTGCACCATGGAAAAATAAACATTAGACTATAAACGGTGTGGAAAATATTTCTGTAATCGCAATAATAAAATCTTTTGTTATGCATGGGGCTGTAACGCTTTGACGGGCAAAGTGAACATTTCCCCAGAAAAAGCGACTTCTCGGTAAAGCCGGTGACGCTTCTGAACAAGCTATTCAGGTCAACATGGCGTATTCCGCAGTTGATCAGGTAGGACTCGTAGCCCTGCAGAGTGTAGTCAACTTTATCTCTCCCCTCCCCCCCCCACCCCCCCCCC